CTTCCACCATCACTTCTTCATCATTCTTAGACCATCTGATGTTGATCACAGGGGGGAAGAAGTCGTAGACGAAGCAGATGAGGGTATTCTCTTCAGCATTTATCATTTCAACTCTGAAGTAAATCACAACTTCTGGTGGGTCTGACAGTTCAAACAGCACAGTGTTATTTAGTTATTATAATTTTAATCAAATAGTAACAGTGACAAATGTTGGAACACAAGTTGAGTTTTAATTACCTTTAGTCTTTTTTACTGACTCATCAGGTTTCCATCTATAAATATCTTTGTTGCATACATTTCGAAAATATTCTGCATAGTGGTAAGCCATTTCATAGCGTGAAGATGTCGGTATTTTGCTTTTCCAAATAACAAGACTTTGATTATAATCTGCATAGCAGACTTCATCATCATCAAATGTCACATAGGCTTGAGTGTCACCCGAATCAAAGCATCCATAGGTGTAACAAATTTTGTGATCACCTGGGGAAAAAAATCAATTAACCATAAACAAAAGCTTTGAAACCCATTAAAAAAGTCACTAACAAACAAATTTCGACATTTTAGTTCAGATCAAAGCTAATCGATGAAGCACCTGCATAGAAATAGTTGTACTTACTTTCTGCACAGATGCAAAGTGCTCCAGAGAGAAGAAATATAATTTTAAAGTGCATTTTATTCACTTTGTGCTCATTTATGTGCTCTGCCATGGCTCCTATGCATTCTTGTTGTTACCATTCAACAAGAATGAGACTTCACAAAAGTTACAGAGATAGATAAAACTTCCCCATTTCTAAAAATGTCAAAGTGTTCACCAGGAGAAAAAAAACAGGAAGCTGAGAAAACAATCACAGCTGAAACATTTTAAAGTGTAATTGCTTATTTTAAAACAGCTTACATTACAAAATGCACATTTTACTTTTAAAATATTTTGTTTGTTCATTTGTTATTATGCCGGAGCATGAGAGAGTGGAAGCCGTCCACCTCACTGAACCACAGGAAGTCGTGTTAAAGTGAGCTCCTCGGCTAAAAGTCTCCTGGAGCTTGGGGGCCTGCGGTGGATGTTGAGGTGGGGACCTGTTGCTGGACCTGGTTGTTGTCCAGCCTTGTTGGGTGAGTCATGCTGAATAGACACGAACAAGGAAGAGGGGTGAACTTGGCGGAAGATGACTCGGACAATATGGAGGAAATTTTTTTTAAAAATCACTGAACTTCACGAGTGCTGAACTGTCAACGTTACCGTCACATCAAGAACTTTTGATTGGACTGGTTGAAGAAGTGAAGCTGCTGAAAGTAGCAATAAGTGGAAGAGATAAAACAATATCTGAACTGGGTAACATTTTACAATATGGTACACAAAAAAAGCTCAACTACTGAGGAACTACTCAGGGACTGTTGAGTAGTTACTGAGTAGTTACTGAAAACACCAAAGAATAACTACTGAATGGTTACCAATGATACCAAAGAGTAACTACTGAGTAGTTACTGAAGACACCAAAGCGTAACTACTGATTACCAATGATACCGAAGAGTAACTACTCAGGAACTGCTGACTAGTTTACTAGAACTTACTGTGAAAAGACACCACAGAGTACCGGTAGCTACTGAGTAGTTACCAATGACACCAAGAGTAACTACTGGGTAGTTACCAATTATGCCAAGAGTAACTACTGAGTAGTTACTGAAGACACCAAAGAGTAACTACTGAGTAGTTACCAATGATACCAAGAGTAACTACTGAGTAGTTACNCTACTGAGCAGTTACCAATGATACCAAGAGTAACTACTGAGTAGTTACTAATGACACCAAGAGGAACGGTAACACTTTACAATAAAATTTTTGCTAACAGACAGATGCATAGCCAGTTACATGCCAGACTACCTTTTAGCATGGCAGGTAATAATGTTTTTATAATAGTATTCCAGCAGAAACAGTGTACCAAACCTGTTTGGATTCACTGTCAAATAATTGGAAATAACTTGTTGAAGTAAACAGGCTGCTTTCTCCATATGATTCTCCCTGTGACAAACAGTGATGATTCTGTCAAACCTGCTTCATGCAGACAAGAGAATCTGGTGAGAAAACACTTTGAAGACAGAAAGTGTTTACTTTAATGCCAGTTGAGGGAAAAAGCTGAAGCCAAATCTGTTCTGCATCAAGGAAAGTAGAAATTGCAACAGAAGCAACGGTGCAAAATAACAGCTGTCATCAATCCAGGCGTCTCATGTAAYGTCTCAACAATTTTCCAGCTTCCCGCACATCTTCAGAACTTCCTCTTTTTTTGCCCTTCCTTCACCCAAAACCATCCCTCTTTCATCTCTCTTGCTGACATCCTTTCCCCTCTGTTTCATCTAAGCATATAAACACATCACTCCATTTGGCMTCCCAACGTGCCGCCAGGCAGGGAGCCAACATGATGCACACTGGAGAAATCTCCAGTGAGTGATCTTGATGTTATATAATCAGCAGTTCATTGACCCCCACAGACAGTGCAGAGATTCAGGATACCACCTGCACCACTCAGCATTAATGAGTTACAACCCCAGCATACATTTCAGAAATAGTTTGTGTATTCTGCTCACAGACTCGAGACTTCAGGTGGTGTGAGAGATCTGCAGTGGTCTAGTTGAGCAATAAAACTTTATTTAATGCCTGTACTAACTTAAAGTTCTAAAGTTCTGTTTGTGAGCACTGCAAAGCAAACTTTGTTCCACTACAGTGGCAATAAAAGAAACAAATATTCAAACTTGGTWTCATAAACCCTTTATCTACTCATAACTAAATAAAGGGTTTAAGTTAAAATTGTTTCACCGTCACTATCAACTTTATAAATTACAACATTCACTTACAAACAGAGGTGGGCAATAACCAAGTAAATTTACTTGAATACTTTTTTTAAGTACAGTTTTTGAGAAGTTGTATTTTACTTGAGTTTTTTTTTCTTTGCAAATTTTTTACTTTTACTCCACTAACTTTCAATGATTAAATCATACCGTTTACTCCACTACTTTTCTCTGAAGGCTTTAATAACTACTGTATTAATTCATGTATAATGCTAGAAATTTAACCCTAAAAATCATCCATAAAGTGTGTGGGGGGGGGGGGGAGTATTATACACAGGTTATTGATAATTGAATTTTTAATGCTTTTTAAGTTCAAAAAATGATGATCATATTACACTCGAGATCATATTATACTCGAGATCATACTATACTTGAGATCGTACTATACATGAATAAATATGGTAGTTACTTTTTTATGGGTTGTGTTTGCATCTGGGGCGGCTGTGGTGTAGTGGTAGAGCAGCCGGCTCGGGCGCCTCACATGGCTGCCCGCTGCTCCACTTGGGTGTGGAGATTTCACACAAATTTCGTCATTGTGTGGAAACATACACTGATGACAAATAAAGCACCTTTACCTTTACCTATTTAGTTCCACCAACACACTATAAAGTTTCACACTACAAACAGTTAATAAGCAGCTTTAAACTGGTTGCAAGAAGAAGAAGAAAAAATTTTGTCCCACTAGTGTTGCCTTATCAGTACACGAGGTATATACTAGCCATGTTTCAGCACTATTGTGGTTCTTACAAGGTCAGTTAGTTCCCCCCGATTTTAACCTGGACTCATCATTTAAGACCTCAGTTAGAGCGGTTTAGACTTTTAGCCCCTTTGTTATATTCATGGGTTTCCACCAAATAAACTTTGCAAAAAAAATTGTACAAAAGTGTTTCTAGTTTATTGCAACAAATATTTTCATCTCAGTACAAATTTTACAAAAAAATAAAAAGTTCCTTATTTAGTCACTTAATACTAGACTCTATCAAAACTTTCTCAAGCCTTGTCCTTGAAGTGGTGACTGTAGAGACTAAATGAGCCTGACATTTCTTGTGAATCAGGTATAATTAGGAAGAAATAGAGTTCAGTGCTGCAGTGGGTGTTCACTTTACAACCAGAGCTTTGCTGGTTGAATTCCCTGCCTGAGTCCATATTGTTGTTGTGTCCCTGGGCAAGACAGTTAGCCTACCTTCCCCATGTATAAATCTGTGAGTGTGACTGTGGTGGTCTGGGGGGGACCATAGGTGCAGAATGGCAGCCCCACTTCCACCACCGAGTGTGTCTCGGGTAAATAAATAATTCATAAAATTATAAAGAACCTTTGAACTTCTAGAAAAGCACTATATAAGACTAATGCATTATGGCAGGGCTATTCAACTGGCTATT